AAGTACGAGTTTAGCGGATCGCAATCCGCTTACTCCAAGAGTAATTATAGCCTTAACCTAAGGCTAATTAACTCTTTCGTTTTAAACTCAAACGGACTTTATTTATTTTTATCTGCGGCATGCCGCCTAATTTTAAATGCATAGATTTTCCTAAATATAAATAGTAAAATCTAAATACATGTATAACTACTGGCTATCCAGCCCCGTACCGTATTCTGGTTTGGGTTTGGTCACACCATGCCCATCTGGTGTGACCCCCTCTGTTACCAGGGTATGTGTAACCCCGTTACATCATCAGTGCCAAAGACTCGCTTATCTATTTCTGCGCGAAGCTTTTTTAAGCGCATACTATAGAGCACTGCTCGCGACCTTCAAACGTGGCTCTTTATTGAATATAATTTTGTGAAGTGCAGGGTGCTGTCACTAAAAGACTGAACGTCGCTGATACATCAAACAGAATGGGTGACCCGCTCAGCCCCCTTTGACTACACATCATCGAAGATATGTCTCATCAGCTGCTAATGCTATTCATTAACCAGATTTATGGTACTTAACTAAGTACAGTCGACAATGTCTATTCTGCAATAAACCTCTCCGGAAAATCGGAATTCGCGTCGGGATGGTAGTGGCTATACTAATTACTATGAGCATGACCAATTTGCCACCTGCTCTTAGCCTTTCAGTTATTCGGCGCCGAGTCGAGAAATTAGTACCTTTTTAAAGCTCGCCTCGTGTTTTGTACGAAATGCGTCCATGACGTCACATTGTTCTTTTTGTAGGGGCCATTGCCGTGTGACGCAAAAATGAGTATTCAAGGAATGAATCCAATATCATGTATTTGGAAAAACAAGTGCGGTGGGTCTCTTGTCACCACGTTGTGATGTAACTTTATTGAGAATATAGAATTTATTTGTTAGATTCTTATGGGTATCTCCCTCAAAGGCTCGACGCTCATATTTGCTCAGATGCTGGGTAAGTACTCTCTCGCTTGGGAACACCAGGGGCCTCTATCAAGCTAAGCTGCCTTTGTTACTCGGCAACTTCTAAAGTATAAATATAGAATTGATTCATAGACTAATACCTGGTTTACAACTTTTCTACTTTTTATAATAAACGGTCTTTATTGTTTGACCTGCAGCTAACACATCAGTCCTTTCTCGACTGAGTTCTATTACCTTATAAAATCTGGTACCTAATTACGTACTCTTATCGTGTTTACATACACCTTGCACTTCTGGTCCAATCATATACGATACAATTTGGTACAGTTGTACAAAATTAACATTGCACGTGCATAAAATTATCGATATTTAAGGAGAGGAAAGAGGCCCAATAAGTATAAATTAGTATCCGTGTGCTGCCATTGATTCTTAGGGCATACTCTCTTGAAATAGCAAAGCAGCCTAGGCAACCAGGCACAGTAGAGGCAACAACTCGTTTACCCCAAAAAAGATGATACGAAAATAGCTATAATTCGTGTGGAAACACGGAATCTTTGATAAAATTACTTCTGTGTAACGTTCTTGGTATATTCGCTGCATTGACACTATTCAATTTTTTTATTAGGCTATACATCTGTGTGCTGGATTAACTCCTACCGGTTTAGCAGATTGCCGGCAGTCCATCAGTCTCTTTGAAGGGAGCAAAGAATGATACGAACGGCAAAATATTTGTATTTCAGAATACAATGGTAGTCTACAAATTCGTATATGGCATCAATGCCGCACACTTTCTCACTCAATTTGTTCTAATCAAGATAACAAAAATCTACCAGATAAATAGAAAATAAGAACAATATACCAGATGTTTGAAAGCTAAAATAATATACCAAGTGCATACTACTTCGATTAGATATCTCGCAATTAATGGGATAAAAATGCCTCAACAACTAGGCTATTACAGTGAGGGGATGTCATGTCTTGTGAGAGACATGCTGTGGAACCCCAAGCCACAGAGCAAATCAGTCAAACCTCATTAATTTTCACCGGTGGAATTTGAGCCCACGATCAATTAATTGACAGCCCCCACCATCACCCGATTGACCTATTTAATAAAAGCAATTACGGTACATACACTTACTACTTGTACCATTAATTGCTGATGACACGAAGGTGACTCGAATGTGCCACATCCTTTTCCAAGAATGATCATGTGGTTGTGCTAATTTTTCTCCGTCTGGGCAGGCTAAAATGGAAAGTGACACTAAAGTATCGACGTTACCTGCAAGCAACTACTTCAATCAACAAGAATATACCTTCGAGCGGTTGCTGCTTTCAACAACCAGAAAAGGCGAGCATTCAAGGTTGTCTCAAGTGATTCCAGACTTTTCAGGGCAGTGTGCACCCAAGAAGGTGGAGAAGTGTTGTTTAATTTGCGTTACCCAAGTCGTTTGGAAAAGCTAACAAAATTTGTGGATCACTCCTGCAAGCTGATTAGGTTAGATGTATCAGAAAAGGCGGCTAATTAGATTCTCATTGCCAAGCAACTTGTCGATAATCCGATAATTTGTGGATAAATGAGAGATTTGAAGCGGAATGTTACTCTAGTATTGATCCAGAAGACAATCAAATCTCATGGAATATCTGCCAAGGATATGAATTGTGTCAATGCTTTGATGAGGCTCAAAGACTATTATTTGGTATTGACGTACAGTAATATAAATTTTTACAATTGACGCGAAATAGCTATTATTCCCAACAACACAGGGTATTTTAAGACATTGACAATGTTGTTTTCAAGAAATTGCGCGTTGTATATCGTGAAGGTTTGATATCGTATCTAGATTGTTTGTTTCACGCGAGGAGTTGCTGTGGTTGGAACGTTGAAGATCTTGGTCGGTGCTATTTTATTATTGTTTGTTTCAGCATTGAAAAAAACGAGATACAATTGTTGCGACTGGGCATGTATCGGTGGAGAATGAATATAACTTAATTCTTGGATTACCTTCTTCCAAATCTTTACTCTTCGCCAGCTTCTATCATATCTAATCGTGATAAAGGTTTGATTCAAGCATTGAAGAGACTAAGCCATATATTCCTCATATTTCTTGTTTTCGATATTTGATGGGAATTCCAACAGGAAATACATATCTAGAGAATTCAAAGATGTGGCATGGGTATTGGCACGTGCTCATACGGTCAGTGAATTTGCAAAGTCATCGATCCAGTTGACAAACATGAACAGTGGCGCATTTCAGTGGTTATGTGATATTGGACACAAAAAGTGGTCAACTGTGTATAGTCGTTCAATACCCTGACGTCAAACAATGCCAATTCTATCAGCAGTATCCCCAAAATTATCCGTGCTCCACCAACTTTTGAATGTCCCATGGCGATTGAACACCATGTAGGTGTGAAATGACTGAAAGTTACGAAGAAAGTGCTCAAATGGGGTGAATCAACCAAGTTTGCATCGTCTAAGGTGGACAATGAATGGGAAAGGGTGGAAGAAGCAAAAGCGATTGCAAATTCATTGTCTGCTTATGTTGTCTCGGTCGCAATGGGGAAGTAGAAAGTTGTTGTGCGCTTTACGGTAAAGTTTACCGAGACCGCTGTTACTTGTTCGTGTGAAGGTCCAAAAGACATTGCTGCTCCATGTCATCCCATAACAATTTGCTGATATATTCATGATGCTGGTAGACATGGAGGACATCAGCATTCGCAGCAGCACATAGCGAACGTTAAGTGAAACTACTTTTCCACTTACAATCATATTCTCTTTGTCAGCATGTGATTGCAAGCCCCCCCGAATTTCGAAAAAGTGAGGAGGACCCAGAACGAGTCGTATGATGTCACAACATGCAACTGCCCAGCTTAAAAAGATTCGAGTTCGTAGATGCGATGTTTGCAAAAATGGTGATCAGTCAGCAAGTCCTGCGATGATGCATAATCTATATGCTTGTCTGGCAAATTATTTTCACGTGATAGATTATTTTCTATCTTTGCATAGGTCACTTCCACAAGATACACCGATATTTTCATTTGTCACTTTCTCTTTATGCGCACTTAATGTATTCTTGCACTGCGTTGACATCTCAAGTATGTATCATGTGTATTTATTTACATAACTATACTCGAAGTAGTATCTTCCCTATAACGAAATGCGTACAATAGCCATGTTCAAATTATACATCTCATCAACATATACAATTCAATAATATTCTGCTTATATATTCAAATATATCGAGAAAACATTAAATCTGGATTGAACGGTATTTTGTAACACACGAGCGATCCTCAAATCTTTTTTACATTTATGATTCAATACATTCAAATCATTACAAAAGAGCAATCAGACATCTCGTGATTTTCGCGCGATGTGATAACAGTTTGAACTCGTTGGGCCATAAACCCCACTTGAAGTATAGCAGAAAAACAAATGTTGGCAATTTTCAGTTGGTTCGATGCCTATAGCTGCATTTGTAAGAAAGATGGTGAATCTAAGAGTGATACCATCACATAATTTGTAGCCTTATGGTCTTCACGCGTAAAATATAAAAATCTGATCAGGTCATTTTCAACTTCCTGATGCAGAATTTTAAAAATGATCAATGGCCAGTGGCAAGTTCTGAAGGATTAGAGGGAGAGATAGCGACAATCGCGTTCGAGATAGTGTTACACTCGTTAAATGGTCATGCCGAACGATTCAACTACTTGGAGACGTCTCAGGGTTGCCTGGAGGGATGAGAGTCGAGCCTTTTTGAGTTAGAACTTGCAACGGAAAAGCACCAAAGAGGCAACCGCGGAAGGGAAAGCCGCCCAGAGGGAGTCTTGAAGAAGGTTACCGACGACATATTCTTGACCGATCAACTAACTTTGGGATTGAGGATTGCAAGGCTTTAGCTCTGCTCAAGGAGCCTTATGCGCCACTGCAAGTGTTTCCGGATCAGATACATGTGATGCCTCTAATACACTTCAGAGAACCGGACACGTGAGGAAGGGAGTCAGATATTCGGCTATTTGATGAAAACGAGATCATTAAACTCATTTTCTAACAGACAGAAAACGTATGAAAATCCAGACACAGGTTGTAGAGCGTGCAAGTGAGCAATATGAAGACGTCAAGGTCAGTTTACCGGGGCATCATCGAGCTGATAGTTTTTTTCCTACAATTTTTAAGTCAGAAAATAGTTTGAAGAATAGGTGACACTGCCGCACTCAAGACAAAGCTACTACAAAAGATTGCTACCATGATCGCTCTGTTCCGAAGCATTACGAGCATTGCAATTAAAAAAATGATGAGGAAAGCTAGACAACTACTGTAACGGGGTTACACGTACCCTGGTAACAGGAGTGTGTGTCACATGAGATAGGCATGGAGTGACTACACCTAAATAAGAATACGGTACGTGGCTGAGTGGCCAGTAGATATGCTTGTATTTAGATTTAACTATATATATTTAGGAAAATCTATACATTTAAAATTAGGCGGCTTTGCTGCAGATAAAAATAAATAAATTCAGTTTTGAAACGGAAGAGTTAATTAGCCTGAGGATAAGGCTATAATTACTCTCGGAGTAAGCGGATTGCGATCCGCTAAACTCGTACTTGTTTTGAGTATAGAACGAACGGTCGGTGACCTAAATTACGCTTCCTCGAAGCGCAAAGCTACGGCAGCCCCGCTGTAACTACTGCCCACATAAAAGTGGCAGTTAGTGAAGCATGAGAGTGCATGAATTACCATTTACACTTTAGCAACTTTTGTTTAGAAATCTTGTGATGAGGGTGTCAATGTTGTCGACGTCGAGGTTACACCTAACGTGGACGGAGTATATTAGGCACACAGACGAGCAGGCGAATTTCTTGCAGTCTATAAAACTCCAGATTTGTGGCAGGAATTTTGTAAGAGATGTCGTGAATATGGCTCTCGAAGATCTATGAGCTACACAAAAACTCGCAACGGTGGGGTCTCTCCCTTCGAGATATCCATGAAAGGGAGAGGGCTGGGACAAAGAAGGCAACGCGCTGACAATTTGCGACTTTGAGCCCGGAAAGGGCGAGAAAATTTGACAGCGGATATAGGCGACATTTGGTGAACAATTCTTGCAGGTTAAATATGTTGAACAACACATCAGAAAATGTGTCGCGGCTGACAGGAAAGCGATAGAGGTGGCAAAAAGAGGCGGCGTGATGTTGGTAGCATCGGCGTTAAGCGAGAATATTCAAGCACGACTGTACATGTACAGATATATTGTCGCATCCAATTTCTCGAATTAAGGGACACAAATTGTTTTTGCAGTACGCGGCGAGCCATGGCTGGAACTTACACAGGAACCGTGATGGTGGAGAATTAACTGGTGTGCTTGTAGTGCATGTATTGACAAATAATGTAATAAATTATGTTCAGGATGCCATTCAATCGGTATTTACAGAAATAGAAAAGGTCGTGGATGGGATGAACCATTGAGGTCGTTGATGCATTTTTGATGGAGATTTGTACACACGGAATACGATACAACCCTCAAGATGGCGAGGAAATTAGCATCGGAGCTAACGTTCACATATCAATCAAGGGCAAATTGCCGAACGCGTACAAAAAGCAAGCAATCGGTGGATAGACATTAGAGATGTTTTGGATAAACGATGCGCAGACCAGATACCAACGACTGCAGATTATTCCTGGCACCGACCACAGACGCGGTGAAGCAGAAACTCAAATATTTCAAGTTTTTTTTCTCTTTGCCGTATACACTTTTATGTACTGATGGTGGTGTAGCGTACACGAAGTTAAATTTGTTTCGTAATATACAGGAATATTCAAGCTAAGCAATGAGCCGCATTATATGTTACGCATTGAAGAAACAAAAGGGATGAATCGCACATTTTTTTCAAAGCGTGAACTTTGATAGTTACCACTTATTGTAATTAGAGACGACAGACCACGGGGCCAACATAGATGTTCACCAATCAAACCAAAAGAATATGTGCTAACAGAAAACACATTGGTGGGACAAAAATATAACCACGTAATATTTGTCGCCGAACACTCTGCACGTCGATGCCACGAACAAGTCACCCGGTAAAAAATAAGGTCGGCTAAATCTTAGGCGTGGATGATGAGGTGAAAGAATATCGAGTTTCTTAAAGTGAAAACAGAGGTGATGAAACGGAGTGTAAAGCTTTCGGTTACTAGATTTGTGACAAGAAAGCTGAGGGTTAAGTGGGTTGGGTGATGCGAAACGAATTAGCGACATAAAAAAGGTGCAATGTGGGAAGGGTTCGTGCTGCATTAAGACAACCGCGAAAAAGCTACAAATAGCTATTTGAGATAAATGACACGATGCCGCAATTGAACGACTCAAGGCAAAATATGTTACATCCCGAACCCAACAAGTTTTTTGTCAAAGGAATTTGCTGATCTCGGGACGATAGAGTGTACCATCAAGGCACGGTAGAAAATTTCACTGCTCACATTACAGCAAAATTTTCTGCGTTACTGTATTTTTTTAAGTGGAAAGGCTTTCAAGAGGTGAACGACAAAGAGCTACTTAAGAACTTAGTTTTTTGTTGTCTTTGAGGGTGATGCGTACTTGGGATTGATAATGAAATTTTGATTGGAATGCTTATACGACGAAATGTGGCTGCCACGCACCTCACACTGAGTAACCATTGGCTTTGAAAGTCCGCGTGAGCTAACACATAGAACTTGAAGCCGTAAGGATCACCCGGATGCCCTATAGGAAGGAAGGTACATCAGTCATGATTCTCTAATTTTTGCACGCAATGTGTACAATACATGATTTGTGGTTTTGCTTACGACCACCCGCATAGAAATTTGCCCTGTAGAGCTTGCTGTCAATTAACTGTATAAGCATCACGTTCCATTTCTCTTGTTGCCATTTATTGTCTTCTTTAATGTGCTCAAGTGCTTAACTTATTCTCTTCTAAAGTAGTACAAAATTAGTATGATGCTAATAAGGGCGTCTTAGTATTTAATATATCGTGACTTTGGAAGTCTGACTTGACAGATATTGCGGTCTTAAGTTTCTTAAATAACTCGAAATTTGTAGTCTTCCATCGTTTTATGCAAAAAACAGATGCGAATACACACAGATGCTTTTTGGTTTCGAGGTGGTAAAAACGCTAATATACTAGTGACAACTAGTATACCACTATGACGCGTAATGAAAATCTGCATTCTGCTCCTCTCATCCAAATTTGAAAGATATCCAATACCGCGCACATGAGGCACCAAAGTGCTCGATAAAAGATACATAATTTAGCTTGTACAAGCCGTTCTATCATACACATATACAGTATGCGTCTGAATGAAGTTTCAAAAGTGATTTTCCTTAGAAAAGAAACTTGTTGAAAGGCTTTGTGAAGACGGGCTAGAAGTTGTGCTGGAGAAAGAGCAGCCGATGTTGAAGCTGAACAAGTAGCTGAACAAATCACCCCACGCAGTTTAGTTGTGGAGCAAGTTCATGTAGTCTAAACCGATTAAATTCAGCTCGACGCGGTAAATTACGGAAATGTTGATGCACTCCAAGCGTTAAAAGACAAATGTATCATGGGTGTTCCCGAAGATTAAATTTGCTGTCAAGTACAAAATGCTTTGTTCGACGCATTCACGCCTGATGGATCATTGACGTCAATGGAATGGTAAAGAATAGCTTCAAGTTGTTCTTTCCTATGCAATACCAGTGAAGACTGATGAAAGGGATTAATTCTCGCCATATCTCGTGCCGGAGACTATTGCGCTGAAGGGTGATTGCAAATGGAGAGTAGGCCCTAAAATATGAAGTTTCGATCATCGCTATCACGACGTAGCAGTACTGCTAAGCCAGTACTACTACCGCGTGATGGGCCTACCGTGCGGTGCAGTGCTCCACCGGTATGTGACGAGAAAGATGTCTATCTCTGAATGGAGTGACCGGGAATGTCTTCAGGGTTATAAGACTCCCTTCACTACCTTCGACAAAAGCATTGAAAAAGCTGGAATAAAAATTGTTTCAAGACACTGAGATTACCAAAATGGCACGGCTGATATCGGAGAAGAAGCTGAGATTGTTTGCCGTCACGTGCAGCAGGGTAGCCGTAGCTCTTTCGCTTAGAGGACGCTAAGCCAAGGTCGGTGAACTTCGTTCTTTACATAGAACCAGTACCAGTGGATCGCAATCCACTTACTCCAAGAGTAACAACAGCCTTAACCCAAGGCAAAAAAAAAACCTTTTCCATTCGGAATGTAAACTGTATTTCATGGTGTTATTTGCTGCAAAGTCGCCTTTATCTAAATCTTAGGTATTCTTGATTATTTCGTAAAACCGAATTATTGCGCATAGCAACTGGCCGTCCAGCCACGTTCTGACTTCTTCTTTAGGTGCACTCAGACGTTGTGTGCATACACTGTACTTGTGCAATCCACACCCTTGGATCGCCACACCATCTTGTGTGTCGCACCTCTTATATGTAAACCCGTTATAGCCCCCCTCAATAAATATTGCGAGCACCCATAATTCAAATTTAGCTGTCGCCTCGTGCGAGCTTGCGTGTCTAAGACAACTCTATATCCCAGGACCTTCTTCACACATTATCTGCTCAATATGCTCTGTATCTAGGACACAAAAAACGCCCAGCCTCGCTAGTTTCGAGAGCGCCCGCGGGCTGATCCCTTTTCCGTCTCCTGCACGCGGCGCAAATTTGAGACAGCACGTCCACGGCTTCAAGAAACCCAAGCCTTCGGCGATCGAGCACCGCGCACCGTGCCCACCACGGGCGACGGATTACATCGTCGAGGATTTGGAGGAAGTTGACTGCGAGTCAGATACTCTTTTACCAGTATGAGAAGAAGAGGAGGGCGAGGTGCGCCAGCGGCACGACGTGAGCCCTTCTCAGATTTGCGGACACCGTGCCCGTTCCCCGACCTCTCACCTTTCGGGGAAAGTGATATCATTACCAATCGCCTTGACGAGTTTGCGCTCAAAGCTGAATCGCTCTTGTTCCTGCAATGCGGACAATTTTTGTGGTGCCCATTCCAGACGAAACCGCTGCAGATGACGAAGAGATCTTTGAGCAATGGGTGCAACGTCACCCGAAACTTTCTTCGCTATCTAACTTAAAGCGGACCTTCAAGGAAGTGAGCGTGCGCCGTCTTTGATCTGAGTTTGCCAAACTCAACGCGCGTCGCTGGCCTTCGGATTCCCGCCCTGCAACATACAGAGTAATCCATCATGTTCCCGCGAGCTCTGTGTAAGTCGTACATTTAGTTTCTCGGTGCGTTTAAATACTGGGTCTCTCACACATGTGAGATAGCGACCACACCAGCTCAAGGGCATAGGTTGAGCTCATTTCGGCTTCTCTGGCTATTGCCGAGAAGCGCTGGGCGTACGATGACGCGAAAGCCATATACCTTCTGATAAAATCGTCCACGACATCTGGAGCAGTCTTGCTGAAGTGGCACCTCAAACCGCCACGAGTTCTCGGAGTCGTGGTATCCTCGCCACATCACCAAGACGTTCCACGTGATAGTGGACACAACCATTCTCGTTGAGAAGAGTCGACGGCGGACGATGACGACTTGGTCGATCGCCGTCCGGTGACCCGCGTTTCTTTTCGAGCTCTTGGGGACAAGGCTGTCGCGATCGGGACTCCACTGAGCATCATGCTGGGGTCGCATACCGCCGTGCGGAAGACCTCGAGAGCTTGGAGCCATTTGTGCACAGACTGCCTCACGTTAAGAACTATCCTGCTCTGTCTGAGCGGCTCCTAGCCATCGAGCAGACGATTGCGTCACTTCGTGCGAGGTGGGGCGCCTGACGCCTTTAAAATGGAGATCGTAGCACTCCGTGCTCAAAATCAGTTGCAGGTCTAGCTTCTGGGTGGTCGAGCGTCTGTAAGTGCCGCTTCGGCGCCAAAGCTTCGTGTTCACATGCGCCGTATCCCGGTACGACTTGACCAAGCCCACAAAAAAACACCCGGTAGGTGCGCATCCGTTTCGGAAGCTTTAGCGTATACGCAAGGTTCCGCTTTTCACGACTTTGAAAGATCCAGTAAATGTGGACGGAGCTTCGTCTCTGAGACAACAGAAATTGCATTCGTAGGAAGTTTCTAATATTTAAATAACCAGGTCTCCGACCTCAAAGTTTTCAACATTTCTTCTGCTTCTTCCGTCATCATATTCTTTCTGCATGTATTGACTTTCAGCTATCGCATCAAGCACGTGTGCTCAGACACTTAGTCAGGTAGAGAGGACGTCATCGACTTAATTACGGACAGTGAGGGGGATGACATCACTTAGCCGTTCGGCAATATCCCCTACCAAGCTTTGAGTCATGGGATGATGGCGTCAGCGGGACGCGAGGACGAACGAGCCCGTTCACGTAAGACCGGCGTGTAGCCAGTAGACGAATGCACTGCATTGATCAAAGCGAAGTCTACGAGTGGCAGCATAGCGCTCCAGTCCTCGGTGTCTCAGCGCGCGAAGGGCGTCTTTGACGACGCGATTTACGGGCTCAGTAAGCTATCGGTCTGCGAATGGTCCGCTGTGGACATAGTCAACTTGATGCCCAGCATTCTGAAGTTTGTAGACCAAAACCTCTCTGTGAAGTGTAGGTATCTGTCAGAGAGAATTGACTCCGGGGGTTCATGCTGTCAAAAGACACGATCGACAAATAGCAACGCTGTACCCACACAATCGATGACCTCTAATACCGCCACATGATGAGCCATTTTGCACAAACGGCCGACCCATGTTGCTCGTCGAGTTCTTCGGGCCGACCAAATACAGAGTTCAAACGTTTGGACTGCCAATACCGGCAAACTGGCCAGTGGCGCCGCCCCATTCGCAAAGGGTTTTACCCTTTGACACGGCTCACACGTCCGCACATATGTGCTCGTAAATTTGTACAGCTTGGGCCACAAGTTGGGGCAGCTCACAGAGCTGTACGTCTTTAAACGATCGAGATGACCACTGAGTGGGGTGTCAAGGACGTCAAAGTGGATACGGTACTTCAAATCATCATCTCGAGGAACCGCAATTCGTGACGTATCCGTTGAATTGGTGCTATAATACAGCAACCCGTTATTCAACGAATATCGGGGCAACTGTGCGTGCAGTCATGACGACAACTTCTTGTCCGAGCTTCCAAATTCTTTGCTCTCGAGAGCCCGAAGCAGCGCTACGCATATCATCACCAGAGTACTCGGCGCGAATCAGATTCGTCACTAACGCCGTCACCGTCGTGGCATGAGCAAGCTCATAATCTGGTTTGCGACAACGCATCAGCCAAAGCATTATACAGGCTTATACTTCACCTCGAAGGTATATTCTGCAAAGAAAGAGAGCCACCTGACCATCTTCTGCGAGAGGCGAGGCGACTGGGTCGCAGTGCATAGTGACGCATGATCTGTGTAGATCACAAAAGGCTTTGGACCAAGCAGGTGAACCCTGAACTTGACAAGTGCAAATTTGAGTAATCTCTTGTCGTAGACTGGGTAGTTCTTCTCTACAGCTTTGAGCAGGCTGGATTCGAACGCGATCACCCGATCTCGTCCCTCGGCGTCTGCTTGCAGCAGTGCACAGCCGAAGTCAAAGCCCGAAGCGCCACATACGACACTGAAAGGACGATCGGGGTCTGACAACGCCAGTACTTGTGCATGAAAAAGGAGGTCATTGACCTGTCAATGCCCCCTGATTCTCGATGTCCCAACACTATTTCGCATCCTTCTTAAGGAGTTTCGATAATGGCCGTGCCATTTCTGTATAATTCTCAATGTACTTGCGCAAGTAGTTGGCGAGGCCAAGGCACTTGCGCAGATCCTTTTGGTTAAAATCGGCCAGTCCATAATGTCTTGAAAATTGCGGGATCCGCTCGAAGGTTACGCTTGCAGATTAAGTACCCTAAAAGGGATTTATTCGGCGTTGAAGATGCATTTGTCTGCAGCAGCATACAGCGTATTCGTGCGCATGCACCCGAGCTCCGCTCTCAAAAGGGCGATGTGGTTCTCCTCATCCGTTCTCCCGTGCTCCGCACAACTTGGACGAAGATGTCGTTGACGCTTGTCTTTGTATACGCCGGGTGGGGCCTGAACATCTTTACGTCACAAGACGATTAAAAGTTGCGGTGCATTTGACAGCCCTTGAGGCATCACCAGCCACTTGCCACTTGCCACTCGAAGTACTCTGTACATCCAACCATGTTGTTATGGAAGACTACCTTTCTAGGAATCGGCGAATGTGCAGGAATGGTGACATCGTTGAGCATTATTAGCGTGAAC